GGTTACCTTTTTGGGGGTCCCCATATTAAGGACTATAGTATATTGGGGCTAATATTGGGGTGCCCTATTTTGGGAAACTACCATATATCCCCCCCTATATAACCCTATATATCCCTACTGACCAAGGACTTGCCTTGGCAACTGCGCCTCGTTTTGATGCATGATATCTGATTGAGGGATTTAGGGTCCAGGGATTTAGGGTTAAGTGGTTTTGGGGTTTAGGGATTTAGGGTTTAGGGGTTTTGGGATTTAGGGTTTAGGGACTCAGAGTTTAGGGGTTTACGGTCTAGGGATCTACAAAGGCAAGTGATATTTCGGAAGGGCTGCAAGAGATTATGGGGGGCTTTTAGAGAGCTGACAAGGCATGTGTACATATCAACAAAACACATAAGCAGAAACGTAGATACTTATACGTACACATATATCTGTCTCTTGTTTATGTTCCAAGTTCACGAGCATGAAACGGCGTCTCTTATGGGGCTATCCAGGCTTGGCTCAGGACCAAGACTAACTTAGCGGGATCTAGACCTTGTCAGATGGCCTGAATTGGCACCAAGACACAACGGTGGAGTACCGAAAGGAGACCTTGTTTTGTCGTTGGTCTGTCTGCTAGCCCATGGCAATTACCAGCAAGTTAGTGGGTCGGATAGCATCATTTGTGACTGTGCATGAGATACTTGGTTACCTGGTTGAGTGCCGCTTTCATTGTGGGACTCAAGTATTTGGGGTGACAAGGAGCTACGGTAGGCAAGGGCCAAACAAGCCTTTACTTGTGCATGACTCCATCTTGGAACCTCCAACCATTCCAACCCTTCATGATATAAGTATTTTTGTGGCTATCATTAATATTCTTATTCTTGTTACTGTTACTATTATTGTCATTATTACTATCATTACATGTGACCTCAGTTGGACCGTCGGCGCAGTGACCTTCCTAAATTTTGCGGTGACGGTGTCGCTGGTCATTCGACGCTCGGGTGCAGTCCAGGCCTTGCAGAAGTATGTTTAGGGTTTAGGGTTAAAAGATTCAGGTTTGGGGTTTAGGATTTGGTAAACATGCCCTGCGAGAAGGATAACTCTAGCCAGATCTGGTTATAACACTACTTGCAACCTTTAAGATCTTATCAGCCCCTGATTGAATTGACACTGCCTTGGCGTCCATGTGTCACGTAGCATCTCCATGGGGGTATAAGCATCCGAAGCCCAGCCGATTGTTTGCACCCGGGGTTCTATTCGTGACATGGTAGGTTGCAAAAATTGTGGTTTCTGGTGGAATCCCCATAATATTTGTGTAGGGTTTCCACATAGGCGGCATAATTTTTGGCATGTCTCCCCTCCCCCGCCCCCCACATAATGAAAATCGAAGTCCCCAATTCCCAAACCCCAAACACCCCCACAAACCCCCAGGCCACCAAACCTTAAAGCTTCAACCCAACCTGAGATAAAGCCTTATGCGAATCCCCCGCTCACCTAAACCCTAAACAAGCCTCCAACCTAAAGCCTAATGTAGAAGCCTGAAGTATGTTTCAACATTGTCGCTTTTTTTCCCTCTATGCCTAGCCCAAGACCGGGTTCAAGGATTTAGGGTCTAGGTACCCCTATAAATCCCCAGTTCCGTGTCATTTTCCATATAATTTTTGCAATTGACTGTCGATGATTCTAACAGAAGGGGTGCTGTAGGCCGCAATCCATGAACTATTCCTGCTCAGCATAACTCCCACACAACCCCAGTTTCAATGTTATCTGCCGTGTGATGTTCCATCTGGTTCTCCACCAGGAAATGAACCCCCTAAACATGAAACGCCCATAGAGGCCCAATTTTCTTTTGATTACCCATGTGATTCTTCATGTTTGATGTTGTGTTGCATATTCTTTTCCATTTGATCCTCCATACATGGAAGCCAGATGAGTAGGGGGACTCGAATACATCCTCACTATAGGGACCCCCTTCAAAGCCGGGACGCCTAATTTTGTGAAACCCCAATCCCCACATAAACCCAGTTTCCATTTCATGTTTCATTTTCTTGTCCATATGATTCTCCATTGTTGGGGTACCTTCCCCATATAAACCAATACCTAAACAACATCTAAACCCTATTATCCTGTAGAAGCTTCCTTTTTTCTATATAATCCTCAAATATTATGCCCCACTACGGATAATACCCCTACCGCTCCTTATATACCCCTATGTGCTCCTATCTAACTCCTGTATATCCTTTAAAGGGGCCCAAATAAATCCCTAGAAATTGAAAAACCCCTACCCCAAACCCCCTAAACCCCAAACCCCTAAACCTTAATCCCTAAATCCCTAAACCCTAAACCCCTAAACCCCGAAGCTAGGATGGGGATGCTGGGATGCTCGTGGAAGCCAGGAGCTCTGCTTGCAGGCGCGGGAAGCTGGCCAAAGAGAGGGTCACTCTCTTCGGGCTTAAAAATCCCTAACATCCTAAACCTAAAACTCTAAAACCCTAAACCCTGAATCCCCAAATCCTAAACCCAAAAAGGTTATGAAGAAAGCAGGTAGGATCACGTGTGCACAAGATCAGACAGTAGGGTTGAGCTGCTTGCTGTTGCCTGAAGTCAGGCATCCGCTTTGGCCCGAATAGTTGTGTTTGTCTGTATGTCTTTCTGTGTTTGGGGGGACCTGGTTTTCAAACACGTGCAAGTCATCGTCATGTTTTCTTGTTTTGCAGCTTGATGCGCAGCATTTAAGCACTGTGCAAGTTGTATTCATTTTCGCTGCTATTATCGTTTTCCCTGCCGGTACGATGACTGCTGTTTCTCGCTTACTGTTCTTCTTACTGGTGCTGAAGGGGGAGTGGGGGAGTGAATAGGGATGATTTTAAGGATCCACTCCGGCACCCTCCCTGAAGCACCCGTAAGTCTTGTGAATATTCTGATCCACGCTGCCATCTAACTTTGCGGTCATACCTCGGCGGCTCCCTGAGTCAGATAGTATCTTTGGCATGAGTATTGGCATTTCCAGATATTAGGGTCCCTTTTGTGGGGTCTTCAGCATATGTAGTGTCGGATCACCCTATTTCTGGAACCTACCATATCTTTGCCGAGCATAAGACCACGCAGCCGTAGGTCCGCAAGAACTGTAGTGCTTGGCTGTCAACTGCTTCAACCCGGCCCCCAGTGCTAACTTGCCAGGACAGGAGACCTGCTGTTCCCTACTCCATTGAGCTTGTGCGAGGGATTGTCTACATCCCAGCTGGCATCTCATCTGTTGCTTGACGGCAGCTACAGACCCAACCTTGAGTGATACAGCATGGCTACTTCTGTCAGTAGGAGCGCTGCTGCCTGTTCGCAACATTGGAAACCTGAAAAGGGCAAGCCCGGACAAGGTGCCATTTCTTTGGATACATGCTATGTCCTAAGCCCAGAACCCCTTAAACCCCCAAACCCTAAACCCCAAAACCCCAAACACAGAACCCAAACCCGCCAAGCCCTAAATCTTACCATACTGCGCGTATAAGACCTTAGCAACCAAGGTTGCCTTCGTTGCTTGGATGCACACATGCAAACCACACCGGTTAGAGGGAATCCTCCACCATTTGCCGCCCCCATTATAATTGCTATTACTATTATCAGTCTTAGTATTGCGATTAATAGTAGTATGATTATGACAACTACTATTTCTAGCATTACTGCTTTTACCATTACTGTTACTGTTACTGAAACCGTTACTGTTACAAATATTCTTCTTTGTTGAAATTCCTGGGTACAGGGTACATAGGGTGGTCTAAGGTTTCCTTTATCCATAGGGCTAAAACAGCAGGCCGGGCTTGTCGGGATAACTGGGTTGCCGTTAAAGAACTTAAATTAAGCTAGCATAATGGGTGTGTGTATATATATATAGTAAGTAAGTAATATGGTTGCCCCAATAGAGCTCAAATCAAGTTCCGTAATAGCAACCCAAATAAGGTCGTCATGCTTCGACCAGCGATGGCTTATGTCTTGGAGCTTTGCATGGCAATCCTTTCGTGTGTTGTGGTCGGGAGTCTTGGCTGCGCACTGGGAGAATATTTGATTTCCCCGTCATTTCAGAAAGAACCTGAGTGGTAAATGGTCGTCAGAGCGGGTAATGGAGAACCGCTGCCATCCGAAAGTCCCCAGATCATCTCTCTGCTTATGGTCTGTGCATAGCCTGTTTACTGTTCTCCCGTGTGAAGCCCCAGAACTCTAAAATGCCTCAAATAAGCCAAAATTCTTGAGAAACGTTACAAATTATCTGCATCATTCTGGGGATGTTCCTGAATCAAGCTATGTAGGGCTTCCTAAAGCTGTCCTACCCTACTCCCTAGACCCAAGTGGCTTAACCTGGATTCACTGAAAATCTTCTGAAACCATAAGCCCAATTACACAGCCAACATTCATGTTTTCGAGATTTCAAGATAGAGTTCAAGCTGGTGACGCAGGTAGTGGGTTCATAATGTACATGCGTATATATTTGTAGAGAGTGCGTCGGAATACAGGCCTGTGTTTTTCAGTGAAAACAAGTGTTTTTAGATGTTTTTAGAGGTTGAAACCATAAAA